ACACTGAAGTTACACTGGCTGCTGTCTTACTAGTTCATCTTTGCAGACTACTAGATACTCACTGCATAGAAGAACAGTGAACTGATGTAATGCAGGTACTAACTTAAAAGCTACAGAAAAATTAATCCTTCTCATGTATATAAATAATTTAAATAGCAATATAATTAAGGAATTTTATTCTGATTCCTTGTAAGTCAGCCATACTTCACTCCTAGCAAAAGCTAAATGAAGTCATAATTATTTCATTCCAATAGTTAGCAATATGCATTTAGCCATTTTATACTATATTCAAGGTGGAAAAGCAAATCTTATTTATCAGGGTGTATAAAAGATTAATTTACAAAGGATTGATTTTCAATTACATCATTCTTATCTCATGTGTGTACATACATCTGAACGCACAACAGTTGTATTAACTTGAAATTGTATTTCCTATTTGGCATGTAAACTAAAATTGTCAACAATTTTGATTACCATGTCATAGCTATGACACAAACAATTATCTCAATCCAAATAAGCATGAATGCGTAGTTTTAATGTGTGTATTTTTTATAATCACTACTCTGACTATTCTGTTCACATTCTACTGCATCTTTATTTATCAGTACAGGTTTTGGTGCCATTTGCTCAATCATGCTGATGGAATCTGAATCTAAAGTAGCAATGTCTTAGTAATGAGACTCTATATACACTTGTTATATACACTTGTGGTGTTAAAAGCTATGACAATAATCTCAATCAGCCTAAAAACTAAACCCAACTCCCATGACTGAAATACTGGAAAGCAGAATTCTTCATTGCATTGAAGTATGAGCTGATTTTTCTTGAGAGACTAACTCCAACATACATAAAGGTCTTCTAATTTATCTGTGATAGATGGATCAAGTGTAAGAATTCAGAGTAGAGGAATCTATGCAAATAACAGGTGAAATTCTGGCCCAAGAAAAAAGGAATTTACCTCTGCAATTCAGTACTGCCATCCTCAGCAATAGAGACGAACAAGGCAGACCTCCCCCAAAATAATAAATGCTTAGTTTTGGTATGTATTTTATTTATAAAATAATTTTGTCTGTCATGTCGAGATTCTTTGGCACTTACACAGTGCTTTTGATCCATGTTGAGATTTTTTTCTCCAAATTTAAAGGAATCAGAAATTTAAAGAAAAATATTGAGAATCTGTTACAATTAATGTTACCAGAAAATTAATTTTAAAGGAATATACGGAATCCTAATTTGAGAAGTGTGACAGTTGACAGACTTGAGAGAATTTTTGTATGTGAAGAAAATATATTTGATATATTATTTTATATAGTACCATATGCTGATCAGAAACATTCCTCTAGTTACAAATAGTAAGCACTAAATACAGCAATAGCTTCCCCACTTTTAATTTGACACTTTCTGTAGTCAAAAAGAACAAGATTAATACTTGTGATTAATATTCTGAATTCTCAACTCTATGGAAAGATGAACATCAATATATTACATAGCTCAATTTCAGGAACAGTCAGGGGGTAAAAGAGTTTTTGTGTTCTTTCCCTGGGCTATCCCCACAGGGCAAATCACTAGTTTAGCTGAAAGTAGCCACTTCACAAAAGTCCAACCATCATATTCTGTGTGTGCATATATATATTTACATACACATTCTTGTCTCTTGGTGTTTGTTCTGTTGACTGACTTAATAAAGCATACAGTGTTGGAAATAATGGTTTGGGGGGAAGGTTGGTTTGGTTTCTTTTTTCTTTTTTGCTTTGTGATGAAATTATTTTGAAAGTGGCTTTAAGAAAAAAAAGTCTCCCATAAAAGTACTGCTAGGTAAATTACAATTGCATATGCAATTATCACATATGGCTGCAGAACTGAGTATCAAATTACACTGAAAATGGCTTTTTAAACTTGCAACTACAAATGTGCCTTCAGGCTGACCCAAGAGTCCTTTCATTTCAGCACAAAGCCATTTGCTGTTAAGTGCCATCCATTACAAACCTAAGATCACATGCAATTACAATTACACGCTCATTTGGATGTGCAATTGCTCATTTTTACACGTGCAATATTTATACTCTCTTTATAAATGTTTTCTGCTTTCCTGAATCATATCTAGTGCAGGGAACAAGAGTGACTGTGTCACTTCCTGCAATCTACAACCTTTAGGAGCACAATCAGTATGTTAAAAAAATAATTTCCCTGATTAGTTCATCACATAGAAAAACCAGCTGGTTTTGGGGTGGTTTTTTTTCCTACATGTAAGCATTTTGTTCACACAGGTACAAAAACCCTTAATATTTATATTTTGCAACATAAAGTAAGTCTCTCTGGCTAGACCTGTCATTGGCCCTTCAAATTAACTACTATATATATCAGGTATTTGAGAGAACACTAGATTATCATCATTTAAGAACATAAACAATACCAACCAAATGAAATAGAAATTTTCAGTAGTGTAACTGCCAGCACTAGACAAACTGTGAGACTACCTGTGAAAAATGCATATTTTATGATTGGCTTTTTGCAAATGTTACAATGAATATTATATGTGTAATATTAGAAAGTTATGCTGTATTAATTCTCTTAAGTAGTGTGTTAAATATAGTTTTAGGTTACAACCTAATGTTAAAATAGAAACTGCGATACAGGATTTGTTACAAGCTCAAGCGAGAAGATGAGATAATCAAGAAACCCTTCACACAGAGATGTCGGCGAAGCAGGCCCATAAAAAGTTACTGCCTCCCTATCAGAAAAGACAAACGTTCTGCCACCTTCTCTCCGTCTTTTTTGGAACCACCAGGATTAAGGAGAAGAAGTTGACAAAAAACAGAAAAGTTCTTAATTTGCAAGGAATTTATGCTTCATCTATGAGATATATGAATATGCAACAGGCTATTACTTTTAAGGTTATTCCTTTGTTCACAAAGTATGCTTGTCATGACTTAGTGTCCGAGAGCATCCAGACGTCCGTAATTCTTTGCTTTTTATTGTCTTGTAATTGTCCTAACTCTAAATTTTATTACTCTAATTGCATTACTATTTTTATAATCATTTTATTATTATTAAACTTTTAGAAATTTTAAAAACCAAGTGATGGGCTTTTTTCACAAACCGATAAGTTAATGTTTTTTCCACTCCATGTTTTCATTTCCCACAGTCGGAAGCCCGATTCCCCGCAGGCACGGCGAAGCTGCTGAGGAGGGCAGGTTGGGATGTGGGATGCTGGGATGTGGCTGCGGTCCAGCCAGGCACTGCCAACTCCCGGCCGGAGTGCGGGGTGATAACTGCTCCTGCCGGGATGGGCAGCGCCTCGCGGAGCAGCCACAACCAGCCCGAATATTCCCACCTTCCCAGCACCTCCAGGAGAAACAAGCTTTCCAACAAGCTTTCAAAATAACTGGCACACTACCTTTTTCCCCCCCGTATTTTTTGTTCGTGCCCTTTCTCCTTGCCTTACAACCCAGAAGCAACCCAGTTTATAGCCCCTATGAAAAACATATGCCAGGTTTTTTACTGTTTAGTTCATCCTTAGCATTTAAATATGCAAAAATACTGGAAGAGTCCATACTGCTGCATCTGTCGGTGATACCGTTTCAATATGTCAAGAAGGGTAGTGTCACTCTTGTGTAAATATGGTTTGCAGCACCTGACATGCTTCTTTCAAAAAGCACAACAAGCCCCACGAAAATCCATACCTTTATTTTAGTTGCCCCACTGACTTTCCATCAGTAACAGTTCTGGAGTAACAGCCAGAGACATTTAATATTTATGGACACTTGCATATTAATAATTTATGATTAATTCTTATGTAGCTAAGGGAATGGTTGATAAGAATAGGAGAGCAACTGTTTTACATGACAATCTTGTGAGAATGGATAGTGGGTCAGAATAAACAGAACATGTCTGAGTATAAACTAATTCACTTGGGAGAAATTACCTTAAACCAGACCTTAGACAGCAGCAAATGGGTTCGTGAGTATGCAGATGTGCTGCACCAGTGCCTGCAAAGAGAAGGCTGATAGCACATCATGCATGAACAGTTCAGGAAACCAACTGGAAGATAATGTGTTAGGAGAGAAGAATGTAGGAGCGTGACATCTCTATATAGTAGGCACTATTTCAGGGACAGTTTAATCTCTGAATACCTAAGTTAGAAATATTCAGAGATTGCAGCAAAGCAGAGCCAATATGCTTGATGAAAACAATAAAACAATCTTTATAAACTAGCCAGGACTATAAACCTTAACACTGGATATTAATAATTAATTACTTGTTATTTATGTGATTGTGTACTTGGTGTTACCTTCCTATTCTGAACTTCTGAAGTTCTTAGTAGGTGATATGAAATACATATGTTAAAAAATAAGCAAAGACTTAAGAACTTTTAATTAATATTTTATACTTAAGTAAGGTGAAGTCCAGCAAACTAACATCAGGGAACTTCTGACTGCTTCTCCGGGAGTTAGCAGAGTGTGTTGTTATTGTTGATAACAGGCTGTGAGCAAAAAATGAGAAAAACTCTGAATTTTCAAACCATAGAGGACGCCATCACTTCTGCAACTGAGAAGCCAGAGGCCGTTCTCTGGTCCCTCCTGCCCGGTGCCACGGGGCAGACAGGCGAGGGCAGTTTTCCAATTCACAGCTTTCCAAAGCCTGCAAACTGCCCTTTTCTTTCTCGATGAGGTTAGCTGTAGAGGCCTCACAGCTGTGTTCAAAAGTCACTTATTTCTCCCAGTTTCCACTGTAAGGCCCTGACGGAACAGGACGCCGCTTATACGACAGAGGAGGAGACACATTTATCCACCTCCAGTCCCGCTCAGGTGTAACCCCAGAGGCAGCTGGGCAGCAGCGCCTCGGCTCGCCTCTGCTGCTGCCTGGCAGGGTCTCGTAGGGCACCTCTCGGGTGTGCCCGCTGCCCTGAATCCCCGGGGGGAGCGGCGGGGCGCGGGGCCGTGCGGCGGAGCCCCGGGGCCGTGCGGCGCAACCCCGGCCCGCGGCCCGACGTTGAACGGCGCGGCCCGGCAGGCACGCGGCCGCCGCGCGAAGGCCGCCCCGCCCGGCCGCGCTGAGGGACGAGCGGGCTCGGCGGCGGCCTCGGGCAGCGGCATCGCGGGGCAGGGGCGCTGCTGGCGGCTGGAGGTGGGCTGGGCATCCCCCGGCCCACAGGAGGGCGCGGGGGCCGGCCTGGGGCTGGGGCCGGGCGCCGAACGGAGGTTTGGTTCCTCTGTGGGGCTCCCAGTGCGGTGCCATTTCGGACGAGCGGGAGAGGTCAGTTTCCAGTTACTCGTGAGGATTTTTCACGAAAATAGCGTCAAATCCCCTTCACGCACTTAGGAAAGAGCCCTCCAAACACTGGAGATGGGCTCTTGGAAGATGGCTGCTGTCAATGCCCAGCTTGTTAAGATTGTAAAAAAATAAATCACGGGTTCTACAGAACTGCTTCTAGGCCTGTTTGCTGGTGCCACAAGGCTGCCCGTGTGCTGGGCAGGTCTCCCATGGGAATGGCCCCAGAGAAGCGTGTGGCCCTGGAAGGGGCAATGCTTGGGATGCCGCCCCTGCTGCAGGAGTCTCTCATGGAAGCAGTTTATTTCTCAGCTATTAAAACGACTCCTTCTCCACTTTCCCTGAAACTGATCAGAAAGAACACTCTATTAATTGAGGAGGTTGGGCTACGTAACTTTGAGATCTCTTCTAGAGTCTTCCTGGGGGAGGGTGAGGGAAGAGCGGCAGACTGTGTTGTTTTGCTGTCATCACACATCCCGTTTTTATTGTCAGAACACTACAAAAAGAGATGTGCTGCATTCTAGACGCCAGCCAGCTTCTTAAACAGGTTTTCCTGTTTTTAAAAGTGTGCATATAATTTGTTTTCAGGGCATGAATGAAAACTTGCCTGTTTGTTGGGTTTTTTTCGCTCTTCTGATGTAAATGTGTATTATTACTGCATTGCTTTCTATGGAAATTCACTATCTAGGATAGATGTGATTTATACAAGCATTCCTGAGCTGGGTAAAATGAAATATGTCATCCCTATCTGTAGTTTTAGTTAATTCAGCTGCAGGAATTTTCATTGCTGCTTTTGACTACAGCTTTGAAGTCTTACTTTTTTAAGATGAGCAGGTAGGAAAATCAGAGAATCTAACCAGATTTTTTTTTTTTTTCCCTAGCTTTAGTTAAGTTGTTCTCATTCAGAGGGTAACCATCAAACAGTTGGTTTCTAGACCTGGGCGGGCTCAAACTTCTTATGTTGGAAAATTGTTATTTGACTATGTTAGAAGTGTTCAAAAATTATAATGTAGTAAATTATCAGATTATTTTTAGTTTTCTTCCTGTAACACAAAGACCACCTAAAGTTGTGTATGATACTGGGTCTAATGGCCTAGCTTCTCTTTTCAATTTCTGAAAATTGATAATGTAGTTTTAACTCTTGCAGTCGTGGTTATTTCTTGATTTTTTTTTTTTTCTATTATGATTAGTACCTTGTCTTGTAAACTTTCTTGGAGAAAAAAAAACTATAATTTTTATTGTGGCAGTTGTTCTTTCTTGTATGCTTTTTCTCTAAAAAAAACCTGAAATTCCTTCAAATCATAAAGTCAGTTCACAAAAGAAATGGGAATGAGAGGGAGATTACATTAAGATACAGATACTACAAATGAGCATTTTCCAACTGATTGCTTACTTCAAGTGTGAAATTTTTCAGCCTAGCTCCACCTTAGCAGTTTTTGATGCTTCTATAATAGCTAAACTAAGTGGAGAGATACAAAATTTAACTAAAATAGCTATTAAAAAACAGTCCTGTAAGTTTATATAGATATGTAAGGAACTCCTGTGCAGATTGATAAGGGGTATGCTGATACTAATTAATTAAAAATTCATTGAACTAAAATGTTAGAAACTCCCTTATTTCCATCATGTCCCCATCTCCTTTCTCCAAATGCATACATAGACATACAGGGAAAGGATCTTCTTAAGAATAAGCTAGGGTAGCTCAGTTGGAAGGAAAAATGAGTGTCTGATTCTGTCTTCATGCAAATTTTATCCAGCACATTCAATCATCTAAAAAATATCCATCAGACCTTTCTGCTTTTTGCTGCCCAGATATAATATTGCCTTGTCATATGCAACTAACAAGGAGTAGGTATATTGCTCTTCTTCTTAACATCCATACGTGAAACTGAATGCTAATGATTTCAACTGCTTTTTTCAAGTGCGATGTTTCAAAATGTTACAGAAGCAAAATTTATTGGTAAATCCCTTCAGCCAGCACGGCCTGTGCACCAACTGTCTTCTAAACAAGGTGAATAGCATGGCTAAGGTGCAGTTCACTTTACCAAAGTTTGGGTTATATTTCAGGAAGTAACAAGGATGTGTATTGTGTCTTGTTTTGTTTTGTTTTTAAATTACTTTGTTAAACTACAGTGAGTAAATTCCTTGTTGTGTGTTGATCTTAGTCCATAATCTCTGTGATAAAATCTGAATTTAAACTGTATTAGATTTATGCAGAGCTCTTTGGTACTGCTCTTCTAGCGTGGCATCTGAAATGTAGCTTCAGAAAGCTGGATCAGGCTTCTCTTTTAAATTTGGATTTCCTGAGCTGGCTGGTCCTACTCTTGAAAACATAAAATACACACAATTTAACAGATTATTTAGGTTTTATTGCAAGTACTGATGCCTCAGGTACAGCATACTGCACTGCATTTTTCTTATCTAGCTTTCATACAAATTAAAAACAAAAAACCCAAAAAAACTTTAAGAAAGATAAATGCAGTATTTATCTCAGGTGTGAATATTTTGGTTAAAATTTTAAATTTCTATATGTTAAAGCCTAGATATTGCAGTATTACAGTTGTTATTGTTAAGTTAGAAACTTTTGGTGGCTAGAAAATCATCGGCTGTGCTGATGTGGACTAGAGCTAAGTGACATATATTTTTACTTTGTATAAAATTTATGAAAGAAACAGAAAAGGAGTCCTGTGGTGATTTAGAGCTTCTAAGTTGTGCATAAATGCCTGTATAATCTCTGTGCAGCAAGGAATGTTCTTGGGGCAAGTATCACAAAATAATGCTGTGGTCTCTATTGAAATTATTTTTTGTTAATGTTTTATGCTCACCAGCATCACCCATTGCATTAAACATTTGGACTGAATTACCCAGCAGCACTGAAGTATATTTGCAGAGTAAGGTTGACTGGGTGAGTATTGAGGAAATACATTATTATTTATAAATTGGAGGTCAACTGATCTGTTGTGTAACCAAATGAAAGCTATTTCCAGCTTGGAGTGTCCTTGACTCTGAATGTTTTAAACCAGCAGTGTCAGAACTGTTGAAAAGAATTATGAGTTTCAGGAATGCCTTTCTTTGGTATTTGCATGCACTAATAGCTGAAAAGTGCAGCTTAGGAATTTAAGATTCTTATGAAAATCTGTGTAGCATTTCTTTAGTCTTCATTGAGTTTAAGTCAGCTCTTTTAAACACAGAGTACATGTATTCTGTCTTCACTTATTCTGTGTAAATAATAAAATCAGATTTTTTTTTGTTAGCACGCGTGCAAATTCATTTGAGACAGTAATCATAAAACTTTATGCTTTATTGCTAGAGGTGCTTGACTTTGAACATGGTATGGATATGTTTTTCAGACTTGAAATTGGTTGTAGGTATTTACTGGAAAATGAAGTTTGAAGTCTTCCAACTTGAATGATTCATGTTGCATAGCCTGGATTTGACTTTCTGTTGATTCTGATTTGAATGTTTTTTCAGAGCGTTGATGATGGGTGCTTTTGTTGGAACAAATTCCTTAATTTTTACTTTATTTTTTTATTATTTTAGATGACTTTTAGTAACCCGGTAATCCTTCTTTTTTGTATTAAGCTTCTGCAAGATGCCTTTGGCTTTAAAAAAATAAAAAAAAAGAAAAATCAAGGTCTTGGGAGCCTATCTTTGGTCCGACATAGGGAACTTAACACTTACACTTGTCTCTTGAGCAGTAATTACTGAGGAGAGCAAACTACTCCCTTTTAAATAAACCTATGGTCATCAGTGTTGTAATATTCAGTTTCATCAGTATTTAGCTAAATGTAGCTGCATTTTGCCTTTGTTTGATATAGGTATAGCTGTATTTTTTATATTTTAAAAATTTTTTCTTTAATGCAGCATATAGAAAAGTCTTTTTAACAATACTTTCGACCATCTTCTTTTTGCTAAGTGAGACAATCCAAGTTCATCCTTTGGTCTTAAAGAAAGTCCTTCCTGCTTTTATTATTCCCAAATGTAGCAGCTTGTGGCTGCATTATTGGTGGGGTAATAGAAAAGGAAGGGATAATTGTGTTCTTTTTAAAGACTAGCACTTCAAAATTCTGTGTAAAATATGTCTCTCAAATATGTTCATCTGTATTGTCTTATTGAACTATTCCTTTTATTGTATGTAATCAAGAGTAACATTCTACACGTTCAAATTGAACTGTGCTACAACTGTTACTTTTAACAAAGAAACATATATCCTTGTTTTAATATGCTTGAAGGAGATAAGCTTCATAACTTTCCTTCCTTTCTTAGTCATCTGAAATGACTGAAGTGAAGATCTTAACTCAAGCTGTGATGCTCTGTCAACCAAAACAACATGAATCAGGAGCAAAAAAAGGTAAAATACTGCATGGGGGAGCTATGTCAATATTGTATTTTCTGGATGGAGGACAAGTGAACTTTGAAGTGATGTAGGCTGCACTTTGTTTTTACTATTCAACTTGTGCATTGATAGTTTGGAGAGCAGTGTGTAACTTTTCTGCTTTTCACATAACACTTTAGAGAAGGTGTAAAAGTTGATCATAACTGAGGTAGAAAACTTCCACTGGTAGATCTGCTTGCATATAGGGATATAACTGTCTTAAAAAATCCCAAACAAAGCCAACAAATCAAACAAAAAAATGCAACCAATCCCCTGAGAAAACAGACCCCAAACATAAAAAAATTCTTCACACAAAATCCTGGGTTTGTATAGATTGCTTGTGAGTGTAAAAGTACACATTTGAGTTGCATCCTTTAGCCTGCTGCAGGGCTCAGTTGTGACATACAGACTGTTGAATTTAATCAAGTTAAGAACTCAGCATATTGGCTTCCTTGTCCTGCTCTTACTACAGTGGTTCTGAAAGAATAGCACTTGAGTGGTTAGATATGAATTAATTTTTTTATGATTAATCCTGGACTATTTGTTTTTGTGTCAGTACTGTCCTTAAGGTCTGATCCTTATGTTTTTCTCTCTGTACTGCCTGCCACTGTACTCATAGAGAAATGATAGTTTAACCAAATCAAAATTTTACTCTTTTTTTTTTTTTCCTTCATTAAGGTGTAATCTCTGATTTCAAATGCATTCTCACAGTACTTCTCTGCCATGTTTCCTACCTAATTCTTCATTCTTAAACATGTCACAGAAACTGCATCCGTGACCCAGGTTAAGGTCACCAGTTTGTTGAGACAATTTCTTTTGTCTGTATCTGCCTGTAATCAGGCAACCATCTGTAATTTCCAATCCTTGCATAATCTCTGCAGATGTAGTTTGATCTTTTGCTCTTTGTGCTCAAAAGTTGAAAGAATTCTATTAAGTTTTAATGAGGCTTTTATATTTTTGTCAGTCTGAGGTTACCATCTCTCAGATTCTTGAGCATTAGTTTAGTTCTGTTGTGTGTTACTGATTTGAAAATAAGTCTTCCATGTATCTTCTTTCAAGCTGAGGTTAATTTCTTCTATTTTTGATCTTGATACAGAAAAGAGAGTTCTATTTTTTGGACGTAGTTAAATGGCAGATTTATCAAGTTTTATCTGATTGATGATGTCTTTCTGATCCTTTGTCATTGATTCTGCTTGTGGTGGGTAGAGATTGTTTTGGTCTACAAGATCTTGAACAGCTTCTCATCAGATCCTGGTCTCTTGCATAATCCAATACTTTGGATCATCTTCAGTGGTTAATTGCTCTGTGATACCTCTCTGAGGTATCTGAGGTATCACAGTTCTTCACACTGTCAAACTTTTTCTCACACTTCTTTTCAAAGGGCTTTTGTTTGTTTGCTGGATAGTTGTAATCTTTTCCTTTAGAGTTATACAACTCTAGAGGTCTTACTATTCAGCTACTGCTTACAAATAAGTCTTTTGTTTTCTTTTTTTTTCCTTGCACAGTACAATTTCTTCTAGAGCTATGTTTATGTTCAGCTGTACTTTGGGTTCCAGATAATAATTTCCATTTGATATCTCTTCAGTGGAGCTTTGCTTTCAATTATCTGTCTCAGCAGTTCTTAACTGCAGCATGGGGTTTCCATGGACCCACTTCTTGAGCTTTTCCAGGTCTCTCTAGATGCTATCCTGTCCCTCAGTTGTGTCAGCTGAACCACTCTGCTTGGTGTTACCTGCAATTTGCTGAGGGTGCAGTTGATCCCACTGTCATAGATGAAGATACTCAACAGTACTGCTGGGCCAAATATGAAATCCTGAGGGATGCCACTCTGATCTACATCCAGACATGGCCACTAATCTTTGGATCATAGGATGCTTTGGGCTGTAGGGGACTGAAAAATCATCAAGTTCTTACCCCCTGCCATGGGTGGGGACACCTGCCACTAGACAAGTTATTGAAAGCCCCACCCAGCATGATGTTGAACACTCCCAGGGATGGGGCATCCATAACTTCTATGTGCAGCCTTTTCCAGTGCCTCACCATCCTCACTGTAAAGAATTTAGTTCTCCTATCTAACCTAAACCCACTGTCCCTGAGCTTAAAGTCATTGTCCCTTTTCCTATCACTACATGCCTCTGAAAAGCCCCTGTCTAAACCTCCTGTAGGCCCCCATTCGGTACTGGAAGGCTGCCCCAAAGTCACCCAAGAGCCTTCTCTTCTCCAGGCTGAACATCCCCAGCTATCTAAGCCTGTCTTCATAGGAGAGGTGTTCCAACCCTGTGATCAATTTAGGGACTCTCCTCTGCACTTGTTCCAACATGAGATCAGATACAACTGTCCAACCAGTTCCTCATCCAGTGAACAGTCCCCTAGTCTAATCCACATCTCTCCTATTTAGAGAGATGGATGTTGTGGGGGATTGTGTCAAAGGCCTTACAGAAGTCATAATCTTCATAGGTTTTTAATCAAGGGGAGGTAAAAACAAGATAAAAGTTTTCAAGTATGCTCATATTCTTTAAACTGTTTTTTTTTTTTCGAAGTTACCCACATGCCCTCCATTAGGTTCACCACTTACTGCATTGTTTGTATTCAGAGGCAGGAAAAAATTAATGTCATAGTTGTTACCAGCTTCTCTCTTTTCAACATCCTATAAGCTGAGAAGCAAAAACTGTTGTCCATCAGGTGACAGTGTAACAATCTTTCAGGAAGCCCATCACTCCTAAAGGATTCTTCTTCAACTTCTTCATCTAGGACCAGAGATGAAGTTTGTTCCTTCTTTGCCAAATTCCTTTAATCTTGTTTCTGCTCTCATTTGAGAATATCAGCTTGAATACAGACATTGCTAGACATACTGTATCCAAAGCTATGCCATGGTAGACATAGTGCTATAAATTTGAATAAGAAACCTAAATTTTCTGAGCAGAGGCTCTGACTCTTGTTGATCCAACACAACCCCTCAAAAATATTTCACTGCTATTAATCTGTTTGCCATTTTACGTGCAGCACCTTACTTTTAGGTGTTGAAAGACATTTAACTTATTAGCTTCAAGAAAAGAGATACTCTGTTTTTGTTATCTGTCCCTTTTTTGTTATCTGTCCCTTAGAAATAGGTGTTACTTAGGAGTGAGTTATAAACAGATTTTCTTGTGGGTTTCAAGACCAGTTTGTCGTGTTTCTGCTAATGAGAACAAAATACAGGGAGTCTGTCTGGTGTAAGGTTGGAGTCACCTTTTTCCTTCTTTTGTGCTGATTTACTGTGTCAGTTTGCTACAGTTAAAGTGTAATTCTCTGTAATTTACTTCAGAATTTCCTGACGTCAGATAAGACCTAAATTAGTTCTGTTTTTAAAACTGATTCTTATATTCCACATGTAGCACTTCTACCATTCTATAAGTTACCAAAATTTTTTTCTGAATTTTCAATCTTAGTCCCTTAAACAAGAATGTTGAACTTAGTGATTTTGTATATTCACAGAAAGGATCCAATACAGCAGAGATTTCCTTCTGAAGCTTTCAAATGTTTCTCTCTCTCAGAAGAAACCAGAGTTTCTTCCTGATCACCCAGTTGTACTTCAAAAGCCAGTAAGTGCATTTTTTTGTAGTGAGTGAAGTCATAAAATCACCTATGAAATTTTTGATAAGCCATTTGACAGGAAACATTTTCCTTCAAACTGGCCTGCCAAATTGGTAAAACCTTCAAAGGACAGTCTGCAATTCAGCACAACTTTTGTATGTAACTTCTCCAGCTGATATTTGACATCTTATCCTGGGCAGTACCATATAAAGGGAAAGGGTTTAAAATTTGTTTTCAGGAAAAAGAGATATGTTTCCATATTTTCAAAATAAAAGAGAACAATCTTGATAAATTTCCATTTTTGTAAAAATCTTAATCCAGTGTTTGAGTTGTTCATGCATCAGTGTCCACTACAAAACCATCAATGAGCTCAGTGCAGTTTTTATTATCATTATCTTTGGTCTTTGGTTTTGGGGAGAAATTAATAGAAATGAATGAGGATTGTGAAGGATATCCATGTGTGCTGCCCTTCAATGTTTATGATTAAATAATCCTCGAATACTTCATATGCTAGGAGAAAATATCTACTGGACCACATTCCAGACCCCAAGTGTGGGGAAATTTTCTGTGTAAACATCATATCTAATTAGGCAACATACTAGGTTGCTTTTGAGACCATTGGGCTGTCGTTCTGCTAGAAATAGGATTCCTATTATGGAAAAGTATGTCCACATGAGTACTGTGTTGGCCACATTTGGAGGCATTTTTAAACTTTAAAACTTTCTGTCCTTTAAAAAAATAAAAATTAATTAATATATAACCATAATCAGCTTTCCCTGATCTTACTTTTTATATCTTTCTATTTACCCTCAAGATGAAAGCTGTGTTTGTTTGAAAACCTGCTTTCAGATTTGAAAGTCTCAGCTCTAATTTCCTAACTTTCCCCCCTCTCCCACCACCTGTGTTTCTAAGAGTGGCAAATTTTGATAATCTGTACACTTTCAGATGTTTACATTCCTAGGATTAAGGAGGGCCCCTATACAGAAATCAGTCCGATCACCTAGTTCAGCCAAAATTTCAGCCCTGTTTTTCTGCACAGAAACCAGAGGGATTGACAAGATGCATGTGTAAATAAAATGAATGATGCTTAAAAATGGCAGAAGGTGGCTTGCGAATAAATTTCTAATGACAGACAATCCTACAGTGTCAGTGAGCTTGTATTTTGGAGCAGGTGGTTTTCAACATTTTGCTGCTGAACTGAGTATTCAGACAGTTCATGTCTATCTAAGACTTCCCTAGTCCTGAATTTTTTAAGCCACTGCTGAAGTATGTGCCCTCTTATGAGTAAAAGTTGTATTGTCAGATGAAGAAAACTTCCTATAATGACTTGTAGAAGGGAGATGCAGTTGTTAAAATTGGTGGACTGTGGACCGCATTTGTCCCGAAGGACGCTGGGGTTTTATTGAGATGTGGGGATACATAGCTCAGCGTTTGAACAGATGTTACTACAGTGTTGACACACAGTAGGAAAATTTTAGATGAAGTCTTTATGATTAATGAAAACAGAACTGTTTGCTATAATAAAAAAAAAATTCCAAATTGTGACATGTACGTGGAGTAGAAAAGAGTTACAAGCAGACTGAAATAAAAACTTTAAGTGAACTTTTATAACAGAAGTAATTTGAGGGTTGATTTGTCTTACAGGTAAAGAACAAACCTTTCATTGACATCTGCAAGAAGTGACATGTTGTTTGGAAGATCCAAAGTCCATCAGTGAGGGAGCTACATTTGATGTAGGTCTTCAAGACTTTTGAAGGTGCTTGGGTGCCTGGAGATGGAAGTACAACCCTGTGAAACCTATGAAAATGCCTTTTTCTTCCTGTACTTGCCTGAATGCTTTAAGAAACAAACCTTTAATTTGTAATGCCTGAAATGGCACTATGATTAAAGGGAAAATAAATAATTTTACATATTGGTGTGGCAAAATTTTGTCATTGAGTTGTTTTTGTTATGTAGCCAGATATTTTGCCTGACCATAAATTCTAAATAAATACTTGACTTGGACTTTTTGATTGCTCCCAACTCCCTTCCTCAAAAGTAAAAATGGAACAAGTATTGGCTGTGTCAAATCTCAGATGTCTTAGGGTATCTACTCCTCTAGTAGTAGAGTGGTTTTTTTTTTTTTTTTGACAAAACTTGACTTGCTTCTTCTTAATTTGAAATCTTCAACTTGACACAAGATATTCTGTAATATCTTGTGGATATACATACCTTCTTTCAAGGTATGAAGTGTCTTATTAGTAGTAATTTCACTAACCAGAGAAATTTTCTCTCGTTGTGCATCAGGAGATCTGCCTATACACTGCATTCCTTAAAGTTCTTTGAAAATAATTGTCCAGTGTTCTTGACTGAAAAGTGAAAGTAGTAAGAAAAACTGAGGAACAAGACAGATTTTAATCCTATGTCTTATATGGGTAAATGGGTGTACCAATGCAGACTCAATTCTCTCTTTTTCCCTTAAATGAGTATGGTATCCAATACTGAAGTGGAAAGCAGTAGTTCAAGTATTTCCTGAAAGCATCTAGCAGTTGACAGGCATCAATAATAAATCTTTTGTATGAATAGAATTAACTTCCAAATGTGTATTTAGACCTATAATAATATAATTTGTATACTTTTATACAAATATAATTATATTTGTATAATATAATTTGTAGACAATTTTTTACCCTCTGTCACAAATGATAACGAAAGCTAAATGAGGATATGTTAAATGGCAATTGCAGTAATGCAAAGGCCTGTCAAGTTACATTGGATCAGCACTAGATTTCTTTTCCCGAATGATGCAAATAAATATTTTTGTTGGTTAGTTTTTAATCACTGGGAGTTCCTTAGAGTGAGTCATATGGATCTTTTTTCCCAGTATGTGTCAAAGACAATTTCTGTGTGTAGCTCTCAAAACTCCTAAGTGAAACTTCTCAAACTTCTTCTTGTGTATGATTCATCAAAGTGTTTGTTTACTAGTATATATACAAAGGTGAGTAACTCTTATAAGGACATATGACCTGCTACAACTTTTTTCACCCTTCCAGCACCTAATTGACATGAAGCTCTAAAGCAAGTTGCTGTAAGAATGATTTTAATACATTTTTCCTAGTGAAAGGGAAAAATGTCGCCAACCTTAGTGTAGTATGTAATTTTTAAGGATTTTCCCTGAATCTGTGTCACATGTCATTATTTCCTTTGTTGGTAGGTCAGTAGTGACAGAAAACCCCATGCTATACACTAGCCTAACATCTTGGCATAGTAAAAATAGCAGCTAGATGTTCAGGAGTATGAGTAGATTTACTTTGATTAAGACAAGAAACCTTTAAACTTATACAGATGTCATTTGTGAGGGTAATTACAGTGCCCTTTTACAAATGGACAGATTGGTAGCTGGATACAGGAAAGCCTTGGACTTTAGTGTTAGAAGCATTCACTGAGTTACTGTGAGAGAGATAAAGGTGAAATTTGTAATGTGGGCACATAAATTGAGATGTGCATGTATTCCTCTCTGACATCCACATGAACCAAGGCCCCATAAACTTCATTGGCAAAGGGCTTGATTCAGTTGGTTAAAGGTAGGCATCTGTGTCATCAGAGACTCACCTGGAATTCCAGTCCGCATGCTGCGTGGGCCTGGCGTAAATGACAAACTAGAGGTAACAGTGTCATCCTCAGCGGGGAGATAGAGACCACTTGGTGTCCTCTACAGTAACTCACATGCACTAGATCCCTTTGTTTAGGCAAATAACTCACACCAGAACTTTACTGATAAAATAAGAGCCAAATTGCCTTGGTCACATGCAGGAACCTAAATGTGATGCCTTTCTTAATCTTGAGCTCAGACCTTGTGATTTCTGGAATACAGGACCTTACTGCAATGAAGACTGCTTGTTTGCAGTTGAAATTCCCCCTTTGCAATTACATATGGTAACATTTTTTGTTGAGAAGAAATAAAATGAAACAAGACAGTATTTTATTGAACATGACTTTTAAGTTTCTTTTTGGGTACTGTTTGTAACCTTAGACTGCTAAATGGATGGAGAGAGTGGTCATGTAGCATGCTGAGCTTGTCACCCTGCTGTGGAGGTGTGAGATTACAGTGGTTGCTTGCCTATTCTTCGGGCTGAAGGCCCATATCCTCCTCAGATGCAGGCAAAACCACCATGACTTGCTAGGGAATCAAGTATTGCTACTTCTAGGTCTTACAGAATCACAGAATATCCTCAGCTAGAAGGGACCCTCAGGGATCACTGAGGTCCAGCTCCTGGCTCTGCACAGGATACACTTAGACTCATACCACGTGCCTGAGAGCATTGTCCAAATGCTGCTTGAACTCTGTCAGGCTTGGTGCTGTGACCACTGCCCTGTTCCAGTGTTCCTCCACCCTCTGGGTAAAGAACCTTTTCTTAATGCCTAACCTCAGTCTCCCCTCATACAACTTGATTTTCCTTGGGTCCTGTCACTGGTCACCAGAAAGGAGATCAGTGCCTGCTTCTCCTCCTCATGAGGAAGTTGCAAACTGCAATGAGGCTTCCCCTCAGTCTCCTCCAGGCTGAACCAACCAAGTGACATCAGCCACTTCTTGTATGGCTTCCCCCGCACGCCCTTCATGATCCTCATGGCCCTCCTTTGGAAACTTTATATCTCTTTTATATTGTTGTGCCCAAAACTACACCCAGCACTTGAGGTGAGGCTGGCCCAGTGCAGAGCAGAGTGGGACAATCCCCTCCCTTGCCTGGCTGGTGGTGCTGTGCCTGATGCACCCCAGAACAGGGTTGGCCCTCCTGGCTGCCAAGGCACTGCTGGCTCATATTCAATCAACCAGGACACCCAGACTGGGGCAGGTCTGGGTGTGAAGGCAGTCTGGCTGCAATCTCTGCCACCCCACTGATGACCAGGTCAAATGAGCTGACCCAGCTGGTCTGGTGGGTGTTCACTTCCCCCTCAATGCTCCATGTGCATCCCTACCAAAGCTGCACCCTGGTTGAAAGGGTGATCTTCCCCATGGAGATAGTGCTCTTCATATGTCAAGGGTATACAGCAGCCCTGCCCCCTGCTAGAACCAACCTCCAAACAAGTTCAAGGTCTATGGCTATTTATGCAGCAACTGCAGTTTCTCTAATGATTTTGCAGTGACTTGCCTGAGAGCTAAAGAAAGTATTTTCTGAGTGGTCAGGACATCAAGGTTGTGCAGTCTGGAGATCTGTAGTGACAAGAGATAGGCAGATATGTTTTCTCTTGGGAGTGTAAGGGCTAAGAGTCTGTTAGGTGCTGCCTTGTCTTGTGAGCAGAAAATATCCTGAGGGAAGTTCTGTATTAGGGCAAAGGGTTTTTCCTATGTTTATTCTTTTCATTAATGACTTACAGCTTCTTTGCAGACATGTATGAATTTTCAGGTGTGTTCAGGTTCATACTTCTTTCTTTTGTAAAAGGAGACCACAGCATTATTAAGTACTGGTTGTTTATTAATGCATTCATAAAACTTCACAAATGTTTAGTCATACATTAAAGACATACTTTTCTGTGACAGTCTGGACTGTCACAGAAATAAATAGTTTATAATAATTGTCTTATTTACAGAAATAAATATTTATCATAGTTGTCTTATTTCAGTTTTTAGAATGCATCATTTCACTGAACTAGTCACAAGAAAAAAGGTAATAAATGCACAGTTTTCCAGATTTTAGAATGGATAAAATGGAAAAGATCCCATCAATAATAACAAACGTTATTACATCATAATTTCACCTGTAGACGTCAGTATAAGTGTTACTGTAATGAAAGACAATACAACATTAACATTACTTGGAACCACAGCTTCCAGTTGTTATTCAGGACCCACCACGATGCTGCAAGAAAGCAGAGTTTATTTATTTTTTAGCATAAATTGCATTTCTTTTTTGACCTCTGGTAAAAATTCTGAATAAAATACCTATAACCTATTAACCTATAATTAAATGTTTGTTTATATGTGCACCTAATAGTGGTGAGAAAAAATACCCAGAATACTGGGAGAGCTGAGTGTAAGTGGTGGGAAGGTGGCTTTATCACAAGAATTATATCTCTTTTTGATAACATCCAAAGAATCATTAATGTGTCATAGGTACAGCTGCATAGAATTAAGTGCCCTAAGAGCAAACCAAATAAATCCTCAGTCCTGTGCTGCTGTATGTGTCAGTTTTTAAGACAAGCATTGTGTTCCCTGGGTAGTTGTGTTAGCTTTAATGACTTGCTTTCCTGGTGACTTTATTCAAATCGGGTAAGTTTTTTACACAACTGTAGGAATTAATAACTTTCTGTCCTCAAAAGTAAGAGAATCGATGAACTTGTAAAATGTCATTCCCATAAAAAGTTCTGTAATCCTCAGATTATAGGTAGTGCTGGAGTGAAACCAATTTGTGTTTCTTCCCCACAATCAAAGGCCTTTGGTCTTTTGAAATGGAACCTTATGCAGAGAGGAATTACAAGATTTATGGAGTGAGATGGGAAGGAAGGAAAGGAATTGTGACTGTGTCTGAGATGCCAAGTGTCCTTAATAGAGGGGTGTTCTAGGCTATGTAGGTTTCACACAACACAAATTCATTAGCAGAACTTATTTCTTATTTCTTACTTATTTCTTATTTCTTACAAATTTCTTATGTATGTATCTATAAATGCTTGCATTAATGCTATTTTAATGAATATTATTCATGAAGAAGCATGATGAGAAAATACTCAGAGTCCTACCTGAATTCAGGCTATGAGCCTAGCAGTCTTTGAAACATCAGTGGATTAATATATTTCAGCCCCCAAAAATGCCAGTTTATCTATTTATTTCATGGGTTATAGTGTTATAACTGTTCAGTGTTTTCCCCTTATATTGTTTTCTTCACACAAAGGTTCTCTAGAGTCCTCAAGTCCTTTTGTATAAAAATGAGACA